TCAGCGACATCAATCCACAAGAATCACTGATATTCTTCAGTACAGCTTATTGCTAATGATAAACGAAAAAGAAGTGTTTTTTGCGACAGCGATGTTTGAACCAAAAGCTTCAGAAGAATGATGAACATGAGAAGGGATCAATGCATCAAAGACCTTTAAACTTCATTGATGGAATAAAGACTTCGCTTCTTGAAATCAACAACTTTCCAATCAATTGAATGACGTCACAAGACCTTCAAATAAACAGCTGGACCTGTTTGACGATGACCTTACAAACTTGCAGCTACCATCACTTGAGATCATTGGATCCCTTGGTTTTCGAACAAGCGGATCGATTTATGGCCCTCGACCGATTTACAGATGTTCCTAAAAGCTTGTAACTACCACCGTTTAAAGCCGTTGGTTTTCTTGGATTTGACATCGCTGGGTCGAGACATTGAACTTGCAATGACATTCGTTTAAAGATGCTGGTTTCCATGGATTTCAAACTGTTGGACCGAGACGTCGAAGTCCTAAAAAGCATGCGACCACAATCGTTTAGACCCTTGGCATCGCTGGATTGAGAAATTGAAGTTGATAAACGATCTACGCTTTGTTACTGATTCTCCGATGACTTGGAACTCCTTTTACCAACACTTTTTCTAGTTGATCGATCATCAAGATCTTGAATTTTTTTGAAGCAACAAAGACATAATCACGAAGAAGCGATGCTTCTGTTCTCCAGTTTCACTCTGAGAAAGAATCCTTGTTGACCATCTTCCATAAGATTGGTACAACGATGTTCAACTCAAAATGACAACAATCTCAAGAGCTGCCGACTCTATTATTCTCTCAGAATCTTCTTCAAGATTATGAATTGTTTGTTGGACCAATAAGTCGATGTCCTTAAAAGCACACTATCCACTCGTTCAAGTCCTTGATTTCTTGGGATTCATTTGGATGGATCAAGACTTGAAGTCTCAATACGCCAACGAACACAACCCTTATTTGAATTTCAGCCTTGCCAGCAAAAGCCAGCCTTCCGCTTCATGAGCACCGATACAAGAGCAAGTTTTTGAGAGTCTTAAAACAATTTCCATCCAGATATTGAATTGGACCAAAGCGGCGATGTCCTAAAAAGCTACCGACTCCACTCTTTTGAACAATTGAACTTCAGCAACTCTGCTTTTAAGTTTCTACATAGTCAGACCTCCTTCAACAACAGCAACTGCATGAACAATTGTCAGGAGAAGAAATTCAGAACGGAAAGATAGGATGACAAAATTAGATTGAGTAGAAGATACAGAATGAAGAAAGAGAAGTTTATCAAGAGGAACAAAATTTCAGCAAAAGAGAATTAATCTATGAGAAAAATTGAAAGAAGAATATCTTAGAGAAGGAAGAATCAAATAAAAATAAATTACATAATTTAGTTAAAGATGAATTATAGAAATATGAATTGATATAGATAAAGATTAGGACTGTTTAGTCAGAGGGCTAGAACAGATTTTGATTATTAAAATAGAAAGATATGAATAGGAAATTCATCTAGAAACTAAATTATGAGAAATTTTGTTATAAGAAACTCCTCACTCAAGATTTCATCAGAAAATTGCCCTCAAGATTAAAACTCAGGACCTGAAAAGTTGTAAATCAAGATAATCAACTCAAGACACATCCTGAATCATGATACCGGTCAATTGGATTCAGAATTCTTCCTGGGACGACTGTCATATGACAAATCTTACTTTTTAGGTATATTTCATTCTAATACATCTTCAAGCCACATTATAAAATTTACGTAGTATTTATTTAAAAAGAAATTGTCTGAGGGCAGACAAATAAGTTGGGGGAGGATGTGGTAAGACCAATCAAACCCATAAAACATAAAAAGATGTATTAAAAATATTAAAATAGTAAATATAAATTAAAGAAAGCAGGTAATAATATCAAATAGTCATGCTAAAGCCTTTTATTCTCAAATCATAGTCATTTTTCTTGATATTTTATTTCATATATAATTAC